CTGAGCAAGATCTTTTCATTCACTCACCAAATATTTATCGAGTGAACATGAGACACAAAGTTCCTGAGTGTGTGTGTGTGTGTGTGTGTGTGTGTGTGTGTGAGAGAGAGAGAGAGAGAGAGAGAGAGAGAGAAAGAGAGAGACTTGGAACAAATCAGGCAACTTATAATTGAGGGTGACCCAGACTTGGGTGGGAGTCAGTGGACATAATTGGCAATTATTTTAGAGGTAAAGTCCAGCTGCAGCTCATGGACTGGCTGTAGGGAAGAGGGGACTCAAGGTGACGTGGAGGTTTCAGGTCTGAGCTGCAATTACAAGGGAGCTTCAAAGAGTTTGTGGAAAACTTCCATTATATTTCAACTCAACCTTTCTATGGACTTTTTGGAGCCCCCTCATACATAGTTGTGCCACTTCCTGAGCTAGGAATGCTGTGCAGGGAATGGGCATAAAAGCTACGGTTTTGTATGGAGATGTGAAGTGTGACCTGCCAGCGAGACCTCCCTGTGGTAACGCCAGGTGACTGAGCAAGTCTGAAAGGTAAGGGCACCACTAAGGTTATGGATGACCCTGTGGGAGTTGGTGACCTGTCACTAATATTTAGATGAGGTCACCAGGGAGAAGATCGAGATGGAGATCAAAAGAGGACATAGGACTGAATGTGGAGACACTCCAACACATAGAGACCAGGAAGAGGAGAGAGGCCAGTGAAGTCGGTGGGAAGGTTTAGAGAGTGGTAAAGAGAAGACAAAGAAGTGACCGTTGAACGTGGCAATGGAATTCATTTGCTGGAACTTGACATTTTTAGTGAAAAGATGGGGGAAATGTCTTAGTGGGGTGGGTGTAGGATGGGAGTGGAGGTGATCTATAGGTGACGCTTTTGAGAATCTCTGCTGTGAAGGGGAAGGAAACAGTATGGAATGCAGAAGGAAAGGTGAGCTGCAAGGAGGTTTCCCTCACAGGAGACACAGGAGCACATTTCGGACACTCCTGGAACCAACAACGCGCCAGGTTGTTTCTACCTGCAAGCTTTTGTATCTGTGGCTTTCTCTGCTCATTCCTCTCTTTCCCTGTCCTTTGTGCAGCCTACAACACTTCACACTCCCTGTGTCAACACAAATCACCATGACATCTCGAGTTGCAATCAATCCATGGACAGCCATTGTACTTGTTTATTTGTTTACATCTTATTCACAATATGTACTGCAGACAGTGTGGTAGTGCTGATGGCATCATTTGCGAAGGCTCACATTCTCAGATACTCCCTCACAGAACTTCAATGTTAAGATTTACAGTCCAAAACACCACCATGTAGTCGGCTGTAGCCTGGTCTACAATGACATCTGGGTCGGTGACAGTGTAGGAGTTGTCAACAGATAGGAAGTTGAGAAATGTTTAACCCTAACAACACACAATTGAACAGTGTATGCACCAGACAGAAGTTGGATCCCGTGTAAGTCCGCGACTACCTGTACCTATACCTGTATCTCTCATAGGGCTATACTGGCAATTGCCTGAAGCACCTGTCTGCTGACCATGCTTCAGCCCTTGCCTCAATTTCCTTCCTGCTTAAAATGAGTCTGTTTCCTTGAGTCACTGATTCATCACTTCTAGTCTCTAACCCGAACACGATGCCTGAGAGCAGAGGTGTTTATGAGTGCCGAGAACAGGGCCTGCCATGCCGAAGGGGACGAATATCTACTCATCGAATAAATGAAAGATGAAATGACTTGATATGTAAGTGCAATATTGTTTTTCCATACACTAAAAACCTTTACTCTAAATAAGTTTCTGGACTTCTCCAAGTTGTAAACACCAGGCTGAGATATTTTAGGAAGTTGGACAGTGCTGGGGTGCTCTTAGATTATCTCTTTTTTCCTACTAGTTGCTACTCAATAATTTGTTGGGAGATGACGAGCAGGCTGCCTTATTAATTGTATCACTTTCCATCGGCAAGTCACATGAACAAAACATATAATGCCTGAGCATAAAGAGGTCTGTGAAGGAATCCGCACAGAGTGCTCATTGCACGGAGATGAGGAAGTGAGTCCAAGGCCGTGAACACAACTCATCTCAGATCAGACAGTGAACTGGAGACTGGACTCACCGCTGATCAGACAGGGAACTGGAGACTGGGCTCACCACTGATCAGACAGGGAACTGGAGACTGGACTCACCACTGATCAGACAGTGAACTGGAGACTGGACTCACCGCTGATCAGACAGGGAACTGGAGACTGGACTCACCGCTGATCAGACAGGGAACTGGAGACTGGACTCACCGCTGATCAGACAGGGAACTGGAGACTGGACTCATCACTGATCAGACAGTGAACTGCAGACTGGATTCACCGCTGATCAGACAGTGAACTGGAGACTGGACTCACCGCTGATCAGACAG